CTGTGGACCTGTCATCTGACAGATTACTGATGAATCAATGAATACATATGGGATTTTGAATTCCAAGTGCAAATTGCGGACCAATGTGCGCCTTGGAAAATTGCCAGTGGTGGGGAGAACCTTGTTTTGCAGGCACTGCATTTTCACTAGATGAGTGTCTGCCGCGAATTCCCAGGCGGGACTAGCATAAGCCATTATGGATCTAATAAGAGCTTTTTAATGTTAATGCTCAATCACTCACTTCTGAAAAGGGAATACACTCTAATGAATGTTCTGAAGGCCTTGTCTTCGATCATTTCTATGTGTAATCTCCATGTAACTCTCTTATCAAAGATTAAAAATAGATATTCTGCACTATTTACAAATGGAATCTTTCATCCATTTAGAGTGAGACAAGACTCATGCGGTCGACGACCATGAGAGAAGTAGACCCCCTGAGTCTTATCTTCATTAATATTAATATTACAGTGCTCACACCAGGTCTCCATTCAGCTGAGACCGCGCTGGAGTTTTCTAACAATAAAACCCTCCTTGCGATCTGTCCCATACAAAAAGGTGTCATCTGCAAAGAGGCCCAGGTGAACACCATGTGTTTGGGGGGCATCATTTATGTTCAAAATGAAAAGAGTAGGGGAAAGGATTGAACCCTGTGGCACCCCTGCTTGCATTTCCCTTGGGGATGACATTTTGCCTTCAACCAAAACCCTGAATTTACTTTGAGAAAGAAAGGACCCAATAAGCTTGGTCAAACTGTTCGAGAATTCCAATTTTGATAACTTATACAACAAACCTGATTCCCACGTGATATCAAAGGCTTTTTTGATGTCCAAGAACACCGCAGCCATAGACATTTTATTGTTGAAATTAAGGGTCACGTGGTCTGCCAACCTCATACATTGCAATGTCGTGCTGTGACGTGCACAAAAACCAAACTGGCTTGCGGTGAGGAGGCCTCTTTCTTCAATATGTTTTTGTAGTAATTTCAAAATTACTTTTTCAAATAGTTTTCTTGTCGTGGACAGGAGGCTGATCTGACGTAGATTTTGCGGGAATTTCAGGTCTTTACCGGCTTTAGGTAAAGTTATTACTTTTGTTTCCTTCCAAATATTTGGAAAATGAGAGAGCCGAAGACAGTGATCAAATAAATGAGTTAGGTGAACCAATGGTTGCCTTGGAAGTTGCCTCTGGCATTCATTTGGGATGCCGTCAATTCCTCAGGCCTTTCTCAATTTCAAGGAATTTATCAATTTTTCCAAGTCAAAGTCCCAAGTCCAAGTCACATTGCAACTGACAGTCCATCAGTCTGCCTGTCTTGGTTCCAAGCCCCGACTGGGGCTCATGGCCAGATTTTTTCTTCTTTTTTCTTATATGAAAGTTACTGTTCTGTTCATTTGGGGCACCCTCTCTGACGAGAGGTCGGGTCTGTAATTTGTCAGTCATAGTCTGTGTTAGTAAGTCCAGTGTCAGTATTTACATAGATTTACAAATTTAATCTTAGTTCCTATTTCTATGTACAATATATACAAGGCCTCTGTCAATCCAGGCTCAGTACAGCAGATTTTGCCCTATTTCTACCAGTATTCGCTACCACGGCAGTCTAGTCACTTGAATGGTAGTATGCCTGACCGCCACCAAGTTTAAGCCTCTTATACTTTCTGTGTCGGACTTCGCCTTGTCCGATGTTGCTATCAATTTTTGTACGTCATATGGTCTCATGTAATATTGCATCAGACCGCATATAAAACACATCGCTCTCTGTATTGTTGTAGGCTTTGCCTAGCAATGGCTGTTTACTCACCGTTGCTAAGCATTGAAACTTGCATTGTTACTGTAACAGTTGCTTGAATGTGGGCAGTTCCCACAGTTTGTTACATGCCCTGTCCATCTCATCCTGACCAAGGAATCTAAATTCCTCATAGAAATGACAATTTCACTCAACTCAAAACAGTAAAACATGTTAAAGAGAGGTTTAAAAATCATATTTTCTTCCATAATCATGTTAAGAATATGGAAGTGTTCGTATGTTGTTTCAGAATTACAGATTTGGAACTGTCTTTTTTCCAGAAGGAATTTGGTATTACATATACATTTCTTTCACTGTCAACCATTTTTGAAGATCCAAAGACTACAGATTTGGCAGAGGCTCAAGTGAATGTCCCTTAAAGCATGGTTTTTCAGACTGTTGGATTTGACCTCCTGGTGGGCTCAAGACAGCTCTAAGGGGACAGGGGGGTTACTGAGTTCTTGAGAATTATTAAAATTATAGGTGTATCCATGCACAGTTCTGGCAAGTCAGTAACAGATACAATAGATGTTTTCGGGAAATGAAGCTGCAGCCACTACATTTCTTTTTGTGCTGGTAAAATAACATTTTACAGCTTAATGTAGGTGTAAAGAAGCTGTAAAGCTATTTAGGTTCCTGCTGTAACCATACAGCTCGATTGGAATCTTCAGAAACTGTAAAACTACACATTTTGCTGACCAGCACAGATCAGAGGATCCCTAAATTTAAGTGTTATTTTAGGAAATAGTGGTATCACAATGTTCGAGAACTCCTTTTCTGAATGGTTGCCATAGAAATTAGAGTTCGAGATCAGAAGTGTTAATTCTGGGGAGAATACACAGAAATCTCATACATCTTTTAAGGACTAAGACTTAACCTTAAAGTATTGTAACATGTTATATTCTGTCCATCGCTACGCAATGGCTACAACGGAAATTGTTGAGTTCCCACAACAAGAAATCGAATACCAGCAGAACATTGCGTAGGAATACCTTAAGCAACAAACGCGTTTCCCCCGGAGATGAAAGGACAACAAAATGTGTGTTGCATAACAACGTCCAAGGCGAGGTTATAAAACTCTGACTTCAACAAGAGACAAGTTCATAGCATCCCTGTGTGGAGGCGGGGTTGAATACCTCTGCCGTGACCTGAGAGTCATAGGAGGCGATGAAAAGGGAAGTCTCAAATTTGAGGCAGTAAAATATGGTCACAAGTCCCAAGGGACTCGGACCCAAGAAAGACTGCACTGGCTAGGGCCAACAGCATATACAAAAGACGGACCCACCCTCTCATCCGAGAGTGTGCCCCACAAAAACAAGACCGTAACTGTCAAACAGTAATAAATATCTGGTCATGAGTCCCAAATGGGGCTCAACACCAAGACTTACTGACTGACTGACCCTCAGCTGCAATGTGACTTTGACTGTGAATTGAGACAAGTTCCATTTGTGTTTGACCTTCGAAGGGACAGTAATTAAATCAAGACTGTTAGTTGAGAATTAGTTGACAACTGACAGTGGACAGTTGAAGTCCAGCAGCCAACGAGAACTGATGTAGATACAGTGTGCAGGGTGCAGTACAGCTGCAAAGTAGGATGACACCGAGCTTAACGGTGCTAGAAGAATTGTGATACTGAACATGATAATAACTGTACTCGCTGGTGTAAAAGTGAACATTCAATAAACTTTTTCGCTAAATTCGAGACCTGTGTGAAGTAATTTGTCGCATTACATAGGCAACACATGACAGTATACTAAGCCGCTCATAAGTGCTTTCAATACTGATTTCTAAGCTTCTAAGCACTGCTTCCATAAATTAGGTTAGAACATTGTGAGGGACTGGAACTGAATGGAACAGATCAGGTTATACAAGGTGGTTCAAATATGACCGGGACTGATTTAAAAAAAAAACATAATTGCCAAACACTTACTTGCATATGTCAGTCTTTAACGTACTCCCCTCCGGAGTCAACACATTTTTTCCAACTTTCTGGAAGCATCCTGATGCCCCCAAAAAAAGACTTGTGGTTGGTGGCGTATCCACTCCCGAACAGTCTGGATGACAGCGTCATTGTCCACAAACTGCATGCCTTGCAAGTCTGATTTGAGTCTTCCAAACAGGTAGAAATCACTTGGTGCCAAATCGGGACTGTACTGCAGATGTGTCAGAAGGTTCCATTTCAATTTCTGGAGGGTTTCCATTGTTGTTTTGGCCATATGGGGGCGTGCATTGTCTTGAAGGAAGGCTACCCGCTTTCCACCTCTCTTCCACTTGGATCGGATCTTTTCCTTCACGTCTGTTGCCAGGAGGTCTGAGTAATAAACTGCATTGACTGTTCTGGCATCTGTCAGAAAGTCTACATGGATAACCCCCTGCCAGTCCTAGAAGAACTTTGCCATCACTTTTCCTGCCAAATGGCTCCTCCACGCTCTCTTGGGTTTGGGAGAACTGGTATGCCGCCACTGGCGTGATGATTGCTGGGACTCGGGAATGAAGTAGTGCACCCACGTCTCATCGGTGGTCACTATAGACTTCGAAAATGCATCATCTTCGTCTTCAAACTGCTGTAGAAGATGACTGGCAGCTTGCATGCGCACCATTTCATTCACATCCGTCAAAGTGCTTTGTACCCACCGTGCATTCACCTTGCGATAGTGCAGGTGATATTTCACAATGTCTTCTACACTACCAACACTGATGGACAGCATTGCTCCAAGTTCCTTGATAGTGATGCGCGAATAAGCGCGTCTGCATGATCAATGTTTGGCTCGGTGACGGATGTTCGCGGCCGACGATCATGCGGTTCATTCTCCATGCGCTCTCTGCCCTCTCTGAAGCACTTATACCACTCAAACACACAGGTCCATGAGAGACACTCTTCCCCATACTGTTGTTGGAGTCTGTGGTGAATTTCAGCGGACGGGACGTTTTCTCCAACGAGGAATTTGATCACAATGCGTTGTTCCACGCTCTGCAATACCTTCTGTATACTCATCCCTCTAGCAACTCCCAGACAGCACTGAACAGGTTCTAACCCTAACAGGAGGGAGAGTGGAGGTCGTGGAGGTTGTGGCTACAATCTCTCAAGGTCGTACAGCTGCTGCGCAGTGCGGCTTGTTTGCAAAAAATCAGTCCCGGTCATATTTGAACCACCTAGCATATATAATGAGATGGATTGTCCAGAAATAAACGCAGGAAAATGATTGTTATGTTCATGTTTCATCACCAGAATACAGGACAAAATATTAACATCATGACTTTTAATAAATCCTTTAAAATATAGCAAACTTCAAAAGTTTGGGAACAACAACATAAAAATTACATCAACAAAGAAATTAAGAACAGATTCAATTTTGGAAACATTTGCTATCATTCACTTCAGGATCTATCATCTACCTGAGTGCTTTATAAATATCTACAGGCTAAATACACATAATTATAATTTTGCCTGTTGTTTTCTATGGGCATGAGACTTTGTCTCTCACTCTCAGTGAAGAACATGGATTGAGGGAATTTCAGAACAGGCTGCTCAGGATAATATTTGGATCTAAGAGAGATGAAGAGAGAAGAGGCTGGAGGAAACTGCATAACGAGGAACTCCATAATTTTTATTCTTTAGATAACATTATTAGGCTGGTCAAATCATGGAGAAAGGGACAGATGGAGATAAAAGAAATGTGTACAAAATTTTGGTAAAATCCCTCAAGGGAATGAATCACTTATGACACTAAGGCATAGATAGGAGGATAAGGGTATGAGACATAAGTTGTAAATCTGATTAACTGGCTCAGGATAGGGTCAAATGGTGGACCTTTTGAGCACAGTAATGAACCTTTGAGATTCATAAGGCAGGAAATTTCTTGACAAAGTGACTGTCATAAGTTTTGAAGCTTCCATGGCAGTGATTATTAAGACTGTTGTCTTCTCAGTTGTGATACCGTGTAGCTCGGTGTGTAGATACTGTACTGGTATTTTGGAGGAGCATGATGTCTCCACTCACACAGCTGCAGTGTCACAACGAGAAAACTACAGTCCCAATAATCATCGACTTCTTAAGAAATAGCCTGTACTTTGGAGTTAGTAATAACTAACATGGATTGCTATGTTTTTGGACTTGTCCATCATATGCTACACTAAGAGAATGTTTGTTTGCTGAGTTCTTTATTAAAATATTGTCTGCATTTTATGATTAGAAATATGAAAGACTGGTTAACTGTATAGTATATCAAGCGAATTTATTTTATGTAACTGTATATTGTGATACAATATATCATGTTACTAAAAATAGAATGACAAATGCTTTCTTACTTTGAGTGATGTATAAAGTAAGATTAGCCATAATCACTCTTGGTTTGTATTTAATTAGAAACATGTATGTTCCTTGTTTCTCATAAACAAATTGTAAAATGAACTTTGTTTAACTTTAGGATACAATGCATGAATCTAGAATTCATATTCATTACAAGTTACCATTGTCAACAAGCTCTTGTACCAATTCAGCCATCCTCCTCTGACAGAGTTCACTTGAGGTGCTCACCGGTAATGTGTTGTTGATACCTGCTTCTTGAGGTTTAGCACCATCAGAACTGACATATAAATCTGGTGCCTGGGCTGAATCACATACTGAGATGGGAATCATGTCTAGAGCCAGACCTAATCCATACTTCCCACATCGATGCATTTCGTCTTGTAACCTAATTTCAGAAAGACAAACATCTGTTAAGTTTTCTGCACAAGCATCACAATTAAAAAAGAGAATAATATTACTTCTTACACTGTTCATTTTAAAGGAATCATAAAACTGAACACATTTTGAAAATGAAGAGTATGATCTGCTGGGTTATGCAGCCATATACTAGCTCAGCACAAGTCCACCAACACTGCAGAGGGATGTATCACCTTTGCCTCTCCATCTCCTGGACCAGACAGTAGGCCTAGCAAGAAAACAACAACAAGTTCTCTTGTAGTTTTCTTCTGGCCTATATCAGGTCTGGTTTTCTATTCCCAGTTTGTTCTGCTTGCAGCCTGCTAATTTTTGGTTTCCTGCTTGGCTTACTGCCTGAGCCTGAGCATGAAGGTGACACATTCCTGCAAAATGGTAGTGGACTTCTGCTGTACTACACTGTATTACAACCAAAAAAATCATCCTCTTCATGGTCATTGCTGTGAGAACCTAAAATCCAATAGTTTTTTTTATTGCTAGTGGGGTGGTACTAAGTCCCTTGTACTGCGGCCACTTCTGGCCTATTGTACCAGCCCCAGATGATAGTTGAGGGTGATTGTGGAGCAGTTGGTGGAATGAAGATTGGCAGGGGAAACCGAAGTACTTGGAGAAAACCTGCCCCAGCGCCATTTTGTCGACCACAAATCCCACTTGACTAGACCCGGGATCGAACCAGGGCCACCGCGGTGGGAAGCCAGTGACTAAGCACTTGAGCTATGGCGTGGCCTAAATCCAACAGATGCTGAACATGTTCAAACTTCCTCTTGTATATACATTTAGAATGTGATAGGAAAGATAATAATGAAAAATATGTTGTTATGAAATGACAGATAAACACATTAAATGTCAAGATATGCATCATTTTTGTTATCTATATCTAGAATCAGCAACATTGTCATAACCTGAGACTGTATCATGTCTCAAGTTTAAAATTAAAATAAATTTGAAATAATTGTAACGTACATCTCCCACAGACAGTCGGGATCTAAAATATCAGACTCAAGGTCCGTAGCTCCTTGTGTAAGCTGCCTCAGTGCCTTGTTGAGAGTGGCGTGGTAATCAGACAGCAAGCCAGCCATATGCCAAAGCCTCATTTCCCTTGAGGTACAGCAATAAAGGAGGTTAACAATATCAAGGGCTGGTGATCCATACCGAGCAAGCTGGAAGTCTACCAGACACACCTGCAAAATAATAGTAAAACATAATAATTTACTAAACAAGAAATAAAACACAAGAACCGAAGTTCTACTACTGTGTGTCCAGAGGTAATATCTAAATACTGACAATATACTCATGCTGCAGCCTGGATTATTACACTGTGTAATCTGGTTACCAACATTTCAGAGGACAACTATACTGGGGCATGGGCACCAGTGGGTGGGCAGCAAGTCAGGCATCTGCCTTCACTCCAAATGAATTTTTGTAAAACAAGATCAGAACTGAAGAAAAGAAGATAATAGACGAAATATCAGTAATAAGAATTAAAAGTATTCTTTACAGCAATTATTTTTCTATTCTCAGTACTGTAGGGTGGTTAGTAAAAGTAATCTTAAGTGCCTGAAACTTAAGATTCTAGGCACATTTTTAAAAATCTAATATTGACACCCATGCATCACACAGATATATCTTATGGGAAATAAGCAATTTCATTATGTAAGTAGAGTAAATTTTAAGGAGAAGACAGGCAAATGATGGGTTCTATGCTTAGTAATATATAATAATGCAATTAATGAGTTAAAATTTTGAAATATTTGAAATATTACTTCTAAACACCTGCTGAAAAGAAGCAGAATCCCATTATAATCCTTCCATCTGCTACCACAAAGATGAGGGCCATATGTTACTCCAAAATGTTAACTACTTGCAAGACATGTCATGAGCCAGCAGACGCAACATGACTCTTCACCTGCATGAAAACCTAAAATCTTGCATTAACCAAATAAGTGCCCACTGAATTGACTACTCAAAATAAAATATGTACCAGTTGGTTATCCACCAATTAAAATAACAGCAACTGAATCACATGTCAGCAGAAAAAATGTCCATGTGCCCTTGATAAACCTAAATTGAGTTACCCTGTAGTCTGGTATATACTTATGAATGATTCGGAAAAACACATTGCCAGTTTTGCTGAAAGCATATATTTTGAGAACATTTATCTTATAATGATGACATATGCACCTATCATTTACAAATCTTAGGCAGATCATTCCTTTAATATGAAACATGTGTATGAATACAGAGACTTTCTTCCAAGCTAAGTGGGATTGGGAGATTTACATATCCTGTATAAAGTTTCATAAAATAAAGGTTACAGTGTGATCTAAACACACAGATAGACAGAGGGATGGAATTCCTTTGCAATGTAAGATCTGTGTCCAAAAATTCTGAATATATTAAGTTAACAATATTCTTCTACATTTGGGTTTACTGGGGTTTTGGACTTCATCCATCATCAGATAATCTAAAGAAAATAACATTTTTGAAACTGGATCTGTTTCCATCCTCAAGTGAGGGGGTGGGAGACAACTACTCTGTTTGGTCCCTTAGAAAGACTAACCACAATCAACGGACACTACAGTGCAGACACAGAAGTTATTTTCTCTTGTATTTTGTTTCATATGCACCATATCAAAAAAAAATTGAATAAATAATGCATATTTTAATTTGGCATAGACCAATATTATATGTTCCAATCTGTAGACATTTTTTAGAATATAGAAGGGACATTTAAGCTTAATTTGAGCGTATATTGAACCAAACGTCAAACAAAATTAGACTTTTTAACAACATTCAGAATAATAATAGTCCATTCAGTAGTTACAGAGATATAGCAGGATAACCAGAAGCAGCTCATCCATAACGTGTTCAGTTCATCATCCAGAGAATGCTTTATAACTGACTAATTAATGCCCTGTTTCCAGATTCTGAAATATTTTCCTGCATATATCTCATGTCATTTGAGGTTTTCACAGAGATAATTATGGTTACTATGATATTTATGAAATCTGGCAGACTGTTCCAGTATTTTAGGGGAACTGATGCCTCCATTTTCAGAATAAGAAAAGAATCTTTCTTCTCCCATGAGACATTAAATTCATCTGAACCACTGGTATCTATCAACCAAACTACATGGTGTCACATCCCATGAGACAGCACTCTTCTGCATACATCTGGTTTTTCAGTCTGTATTCCACACCTCAAGAATCTCGCCCGTCTCGGAATATCGAAACAGGATGTTGTTGGTCCAGTAATCTCCGTGACAAAGAACTGCAAGGGGTTCTCGTGGCTCCACCAATGAAACCATGCGCCTGAAGAACTTACTGTTGTCAATAAATTCTCTGAACTTATCCAGGTATAGTGTTCCATCACCTAACGCTTCCCTCACCTGAAATAGTGAGTTAAGACATAAAGAACTTCTTCAGTTGCCATTAGACTAGAGGTGTAGTTCTAAAAGTAATAGGGCCATAATGGTCCAGCAAGCAGTTCCAAGTGGACAGAAATGAGTATAAATATAAAAAAGTTTTGAGAGCCTTGTGTTCCACTTCAGTGTGCCAGGGAGGCGCCCTGGTACTCAGAAGAGCACCACTGAGCCACCTTGGACCCTCCTGGATAGACTACAGCCCTGTAGTTGACCAACATGCATGCTGTATCTCTAAATGGAGGCTGGAGTTCCTCTTAAACCTTTGCAACCGTCTAACAAATTACATGGCCTCACATGCCAGAAGACTCTCATCCTGATACTCACTTTAGATCTGGCACATTATGAAACGTTACACATGGCCTCTGACTTTGACAGAAGGTCAGGTGGCTGAGGATATGGTCATGGGTGTGGGGTTTGTGTTAGTGGGGGTAAGTAGAGGTTGTAACTAAAGTTTCAGTTTGAGACAAGGGTAGTGATTAACACTTTCCATGCTAGAGACGAACACTTGTCCTCTCAAATGTTATGTTTTGTTTAGGATCGCTTGCAAACTGAACTAAGCAAGTGCGCAAACCCCTTGGGCCTAATCAACCGAAAACGTAAACTCAGCAGGAAAGGGCTAAGGCAATACTCTGGACATAAGTGCATACTCACCACGGTGAGCGCATTACGTGTTGCGGCCCGATAGTAACCTCGGTACCAGTCCTCGTTCTCGGGAACAAACAGCGCCTCTTGCACGCAGGCAGCGACCCTGGTGGCGAATTCTTGCGGCCGGCGAAGTTTCATTGCCAGCGACAGGGCATGTAGAAGAGCCAGCTCTCGCATTGCGGCGCGGCAATGCTGTGCGTCCAGGCCCGCCTTGCGATCAGCCATAACGAACCCTCTGGCGCACAGGTCCTCAAGTACCAGTTCTGAATCATGGGCCAGGTAACAGCGCGGGGCGGCTCGGAACGGTGAACTGACGGTGCAGGTTTCCTGGCGACACACACGACTGAGACCACTTGTCGGTAGGGCTGCATATCTGGGCTTAGCTCTGGACAAAATTCTTTTCCAAATAATACAATTCACCATGAATTCTGAAAATCTCGGTTCCGCTGCCCCTATCTCAAGCCACTGCTTCCAGCTATTCTAACGCCTTCACTTACACTCTGCCCTCATGAGATGGATGAGAGGGCGAAGCCTGGGCCTTCTCCCTCTCCCCACAGTAAAATGTCCCTACTTCTCCCATGACTTTTCCTTTTACCTACTCTTTTAAGGCTCCCACACACCAGAGCGATCGCGGTGGCGATAAAGTCTTCTCACACCACATCGCGGTGGTACCGATCAGATCGAAAAATCGCGTAAGCGCAACATCGTAAACGATGCATCGATTATCACGTCTGGAAGAAGCGTTACTTTTGGCAGCGGTAGTTGATGATGTGGAGCAGCAGCAAGCAAGGCAATTATTCCTTTTATTGTGTACAATTTGAGAAATCTGAGAAGTTATTACAAATATTAACATCACAATTAATATATTTTTTAGAAGGAAGCGTAAGGAAACGTGCGTTCACGACCTTCATCTGCTTCGTGAGCATGAAGGAGAATTTCATACTTTGTATCGGCAACTGCGACAACATGAAGAACGATTCTATATTTACTTTCGGATGCCAATTCAATGCTTTGATGATCTACTGGACCTAATTAATATTATGCAATTTTATTCCTTCAATTAAATTGCTCTGTTGTTGCACTCATTCTTCATGCTAACACACAGCGACGCGGGCAGCGGTCAAACTCGACACCGCGAAGTAGAACGCTGCCCGCAAAATCGCTATCTGTTTGAAAGCGTCTATATATTTTTTTTATTGCTAGTGGGATGGGACTAAGTCCCTTGCACTGCGGCCACTTCTGGCCTATTGTACCAGCCCCAGACGATAGGTGAGGGTGATTGTGGAGCAATTGGTGGAATGAAGATTGGCAGGGGAAACCGAAGTTTTCGAAGAAAACCTGCCCCAGCGCCACTTTGTCCACCACAAATCCCACTTGACCAGACCCGGGATCGGTGGGAAGCCAGCGACTAACCGCTTGAGCTATGGCGCGGCCTCAAAGCGTCTATAAGTTCAGCAGGAAATATCTGACCGCCACCGCCACCGCGATCGCTCTGGGGTGTGGGAGCCTTTACTATTGTTTCTTGGGCTCGGGGTAGCGTAGTTGGTTGAGGTACTATGTTACAAGCCGGAAGGTCGAGGGTTCGATTCCCGATGAAGCAATTGATCTAATCTTTCCAGCCTCACTAAGGCCCTGGGGTCGACTCAGCTTCTAACAGAAATGAAGTACCAGGAATATTCCTGGGGGTAAAGGACGGTCGGCCGGCGAGTAAGGCTGACAACCTCAACGCCATCTGTGAGCCGATTGCCTTGAAAATGTGGGAACCTCCACGTTTCACAATCCTATGGGCCTCGACGGCCTTTTATGGGGATAGAATTCTTTTACCCTCTGTCGTGGATCGTGTCGAGCCTCAGATTCAATCCCCGGTGACATTATTATATTTAAGCATCCTGTTACACTCACACAATATATATGAGACAAACTCCGTCTTAAGTGCAACAATTTAATTGTAGTTCTTTCTTCTTCCCTTCCTCCACACTACATGTTTCGGCCCTAAATGGCCATCATCAGGTATGTATAATGGTGTGACATAATGCACGATTCGTGGTTGACAAAGTGGCACAGGAGCAGGGGTTCTCCGTGTTTCTTTGGTTTTGCCCTGCCAATCATCTTTCCACCATTGCTCCATATTTATATGCTATCGCTCCGTGCGATGTGCAGTAACCCCAATCAGGCATAAATTTGTCTCGTCTTCAGCATTTGTATGTCTGGGGCTTCATCTTTGACCGGCTGATTACGGGCCCACAATAATTTTTAATTAGATCGTAAACAATCTTCCTAATCGATTTTCCTGAGACTACGCTCCCTCTGACGTCGGACTAATATCAGTGAATATTGTACATGTGGTCACCTTCTTTGTAAGGGACTGTAAGCCTATCTATACATTGGTTTAGTTCTTGCTAAAAGAAACGTTCTGTGCTTAATTAAGCACCACGCTATGAAGACGTATAGGGGAGTGGAGGTATATCTCCACCATTCTTGTCCTCGGCACTAGATGGAGGTGAGTGGTCAACTTCACGCTCCGGCTATTTTGTCAGCGCGAAGGAACCCCTTGGTACCCACCGGATAGGAGGCTGGGTGGGTCCAAGAGGTGGTCTGGACGCTGTGGAGACGAGAACATCTATTGCCACTGAAGACAATCGGACCATATTCTTCTACCGTCCAGCCTTCAGCCTAGTCACTATACTCACTGAGCTATGCCGTCCATCTTAGCATCAACTGAAGATAAACGTAACTGTGTAGCCTTTAGAATGTAGAGATGTTTATTTTCACTCCCCTGTGCGTCTTCAAGGCGGTGCTTTATTCAGCATAGGGTCAGTTTACCCTTTACCAAGCTGTACAAGTGGCGGATACCTGGAACTCGAGCAGTACTGGTAGTGCCTGTGTGTAGAAAGCCACCTCGTTCCTGAAGAGAACGTCCGACTTGAACGCCTGGCGGCGGGTTGGATTGTCGGGTAGACATTTGTAGATGAGCGAACGCTTCCACGGTTCTCCATCCTGAGTCGTACCCTGGACATGAATCCGGTACAGCATGGCCGTATAATTATCACCACGACCCGAGCCTGTGGCAACCTGGGAAATTGGGAATACTTGTATTCTCACGTTCAAATCGTGAAGTGAATGGCATCTGGCAAATCTCACCACTTCAGGGTAAATGTTGGAATAATATTTCAAAGCAGGCCACGATAGCTTCCCATTACAACTTCTTCAAATTTGATTATCCAAAATTACGTTCTCCTGGGATGTGACGCCATGTGGTTTGGTATGAATGTACCGAAGTTTCAGAGGAATATGCTGCTTCCAACTTCAGGGTGGTAAGTCATATCTCACAAGGCCGTAATATAAATACGTCGTGAGAACTTCAAATCCCATCATTAAACGTCTTATAATCATACATACTGAGAGACCCGTCAAATACCTATAAGTAAATAATAAGTAGGTATGAAATAATGAAACACAATGAGTATTCCAAACACGGGAAAATGAAGGGGAGGCAATAACATTTTACCCTAAGCTACATTCACGCTCTACGTAATTAACAACACTACCCGGTAGGGTCAAGAAATTTCTGTTCTCCAAGCCAGCCTCCTATCCAATGGGTACCGGGAGCTCTTTCCCCGGGGGTAAAGCGGCAGGGACGTGAAGCTGACCACTCACCTCCATCTAGTACCGAGGCCAAGAAAATATGGATATATACATCAACTCCCCCATACGCCTTCATGGTGTAGTGTTTAATTAGTTAAGCACAGGGACAACTTTACCTTTTACAGTACATGAACCGATGTTGAACTGTAATTTCTCTGAAGAGGTCTGTCTGCGACGCCGTGTGGTCCGTTGAAAGTCAACCGACATTTCGGAGGAACATGCCGCCTACATCTTCAGGGTCGAGGAATAAGTCAAGTAAGAAACCAGCGTGAAGAATGTGGCAAGCAAGGGTATGGTTTCTTGACTTACTCTTCGACCATGAAAATGGATGCGATATGTGCCTCCGAAACATTGGTTGACTTTCAACAGACTACACGGCGTTATGTTTCAGAAGATAGAAAGACATCTTCATAACCATCGATGCGGGAACCTCAAATCTCATTTTCCCTGTTCCTGATTGAGATGACCCAACGAGAAAGCACTCCATTTCTGTGAGATTTCGAGTTCTGGGTTTCCCCTTACGACTCCTGCCTTGTATATAAAAATCCACTTAAGTGTGGATGGCCCTCAATATGTGAAATTGCAATGGTTACCGCAGAAAGAATATTAGAGCCGGACTGCTCATCTTGAAGGCTGTTAGTACCTGACTCATCTGGTTATACCGACTTTTGGCCAACTTGTCATTTCCTGCCCAGAACACCCATATTTATAAAGTTGTACAAACAGGTATGACGTATGAAGATCAAATAGATAACGCCCAATTCACGAAGTTATCGAGACCCAATCGCTGACGTCCGCTTCATGATTTTATCTAGATCCAATCGGTAACGCACAATTGATGACGCAATCGAAACGTAATCTGCAACGTCCACTTCAAACAATGACTTTATTAACAGGCAATTACAAGTACGATAGGAGAATTTGTTTGGCGTTGTAAAAAATGCCTAGAATGTTCTATCGGGTGAATATAGTGTCACTGACTTCGGGTGAATTTCAGAATAGAATTCCAAGGCCGTTATCGTATTTTAATATTCAAACAACAGATGTGGAGACAAAGGATTCTGAAATGAACGATAACAAACTGCCCTGGATTTTATCTGCTCTTCGGAAGCTGTCTAACTCTCTTCCTTTTCTGAATGCCTGTCTGTGCATATCACGCTAGTTATCTCGGGAGTGACGGCCAGCCTGTAGTTTTCCTTGTCGAACTGTTCAAACTGTCAATGTTGCAAGTCTCTGTGATAAACGCAATTGACTTGCCCGTCTCCAGAGAAAATGAGGACATAAAAAGAGTGACTGCAAAAAAAAAACACTTTCAAAGGGGAAATGGAATGCAACTGATAACTTAATAACATTCATGAGGCCAAAAAGCCATTGAAACATGATAAGGTAAAGTTAAGTTTTACCTGTGCTTAACTAATTAAGCACTACGCCATGAAGGCGTATGGGGGGAGTGGATGCATAGATACATATTTTCTTGGCCTCGGCACTAATTGGAGGTGAGTGGTCAGCTTCACGCCCCGGTCGCTTTACGACCGGGAAAAGAGCCCCCGGTAACCATTAGATAGGAGGTTGGGTGAACCCCAGAGCCTGTTTGGACGACGTGGAGAAGAGAAAATTCTTGACCCTACCGATATTCGAAAGCCGAGCCCTCGGTCGTCCAGTCCGTAGTCAGTCGCTATACCAACTACGCTATTCCGGCTCCTTGACAAAAATACAATATTTTAATAAGAAAGATTTGGTCCTATGCATAACTAATTAAGCATTATGCCATGAAGACGTATGTGGGAGTGAATATATAGATCCATATATTCTTGACCTCGGCACTAGTTGGAGGTTACCACATTTCAGTACGAACTGGAATGATGTTTCTTTGTGGAGTGTCTGTTAGTCTTTTAAGTTATATTATATATGGCAGACGGTTGCCAATGTTCTGAAGGAATGTATCCACTGAAGACGGAGGCAGCGTTTCACTTCGAAACGTTGCTATCCACATACAAGATTACAGGGTGTCATAACACAGAAACAGCAATATGAGCCATCATCTCCGTGGATACCTCAAATCTCATATCTTTTTAAGTTCACAGTTAATATTTTACGATTTCAGAACGCTTCTATGCGATTAATTAATTGTTTCACGTTGTATAACATCGTCATTAGAATTAGTTGCACGAGGATTAATCCAAATACGGTAGACCCGTGTCTTAAAGACGAAACTAGACACTAGAATTCTTCGTGTTTCGCCTCGTAGTTAGGGAACTTGTATCATACCGGTAACTGCGAACCTTACCTCAAAGGAAGAGACGGTCACATCGGGTTCTGCTTCAGCGAGCAGTTTCCGCAAGAATTCCAGCGTCAAGTTGTGTGGTGCTTGCATAGTCATCGCGGGCGTCCAGCCGGTGGCCCTTCGCTGATAACATTGCGCTCCCGGCCGGTGCCTACCCCGGCAAGCATCACAGGAAGCCGGCACTTTACGAGCGCCAATTCAATGCAGGGGTACAACCAGAAGGATTTTTCTGTCATGTTGGGAGTCACGGAGTCTGGGAGTGACACGTACCCCTCACTCAGAGGAACAACAAAACATACAACGACAATTTGTCTTATTTTAAATCACTGAAACCTGACATTCATCCATGTTGTCTGCAGCTTATTTAACGATGCTGAAATATATATGACGTCGAATGACTGACTAATGAATGGGAGAGCGGTCACCGCCACAAAAAGAAAAAACTTCAGTGTCTCGGCCAAGATTCGAACCTGGCACCTTACAATATAAAACAGAATCATTACTGCTTGAGCCATCTTGTTCGGTTATAAATAATGTTTAAAGATTCACAGGAAACACAGTACGTCTGCGCTACAAATCCCAACCCGTTCATGCTGGACTCTTGGTAAATTTACGCCACGAAGTTGTTGCAAGATGAGTACTTAAAATTGTAAAATCTCGCTTTGCTGGTGTTCATTGTCTTATTTACGCGTTTTATTCACTTTGCGCAAAATAGAAATTCTAGGAAACCTTACAGCACTGAAGTAATTTTAGTAATATAATCTCGAAATAAACTTTACACTTCGCTGATTCATTTTCTTATTCTGACAATTCTTTAGAAAACGAGATTTAGTTGTTTTGTCGTGCCAAGCAATGACAATGTGGAGATTATTCTTAGAATTAGGGTTCTTTCCTACTCCAGCGTACTTTTGCAGTACCCTCACGAAAATGCAATCTACATCGCCAATTGCAAGGGAAAAGCGAATATAAAGAAATAAATTATCGAAGCGTTGGAAACTTACATTAGTTTGAAGCTCCATGAGTACTAACATGTAAACTACTTTCTTAAAGGGAAGGAGAAGCCATTTTATCATTCCGTAACTGAGTACAGAAGCAGAAATGAAGTCCAAAACTTGGAAGACCGGCGATGTGATAATGTGCTGCGTGGTAAGAGATGTCATATCTTCGGAAGCGGTGATAGATTTGTTTGGGGCAATAATGAGATGATGATTAGCGGGGAAGAACTGACGAAATTAAAAAAAAAAACCAAATATGTTCTACTACCACTTGGTCCAGCACTGATCTCACATGAAATCACCTGAGATTGAACTCGAGGCTCCGTTGTAAGAAACCTACGCCCAAAATACGCATGGAAACGAGAGGAGTACTGGCGAGAAACAGACGTACTCTCGACAAAGTAGCAGTTGTCCGGTCATTTGCAATTGGTACGGCGCTCTCATTAATATCACTGCGCAATAAATTACAGTAATTATAATAGTGTAATTCATTTGAAGGCGGGTTCGAATACCTCCACCGTGACCCTGTGGGTCGTAGGAGGCGACGAAAAGGGAAGACTCAGATCTGAGAGTAAAATAAGTTCGCAAGTCCCAAGGAACTCGGACCCGAGAAAGACTCCGCTGGCAAGAGCCAGCAGCATATACAAAAGACAGACCCGTCCTCTCGCCAGAGAGGGCGCCCCACAAAAACAAGACCGTAACTATCAAACAGTAATAAATATGTGGGGTCTCGACAATAAGACTTAGTGACTGACTGACTGACTGGCCGTCAGTGGCAATGCGACTTTGACAGTGTATTTGTGTGTTCTGCATGGTTCTCACAATAAACAGCAATTTTCCTACACAACATTAACCGGTTGGGATTTGTAGCGGTGACGTAATGTGTTTCCTGTGATGTACGAACTGAATTTATATATACTGCATTCTGCCCACGCAGTGTATTTATGTGTTCCGTATGATTCTCACGACAAACAGCGATTATTTCCCTAAATAATACTAACCGTTTGGGCTTTCTATCGGAGACGTAATGTGTTTCCTGTGAGGTACGGACTGAATTTATATATTCTGCATTCTACCCACACAGTGTATTTATGTGTTCCGCATGGTTCTCACAATAAACAGCGAGTATTTCCCTAAACAGCATTAACCGGTTGGGCTTTGTGGCGGAGACGCAGTGTTTCCTGTGAGGTACGAACTGAATTTTTATATATTATTTAGATGCATTTAGCGTATTTAAATTACTACAGACTGGCTAACAAATGACAGACCCGACCTCTCGTCAGAGAGGGCGCTACACATGGACAGGACAGTAACTTTCATACAAAAGAAATATCTGGTCATGAGCCCCAGCTGGGGCTCGACACCAAGACAGACAGACTGACTGACCGTCAGTGGTAACGTGACTCTGACTCTGACTCTGACTAGCGTATTTAACTTACGCACTGCTGCCTAGAAGTCAGCTTGCATCTGAAAGGTCCTGCAACCGCCCTAACCGAAGAAGATTAGGAGATTGGTGTGATATGGCTGGCAGCCTGTGAGGACATGAGTTCGGGAGCACAGAAACGTCCACCGTTGGAAGGTATTTCCAAGCAGAGCAGTAAATACCGTGACTGACAAAACTAGTTTTTGTGAGATAGTGATTTGTGAATTGCAGTCACAAGTTGTGTGTTAAATTGTCCAACAAATCCAATTACCAATCCAAACCCCGTCTATAGTGACGCGATTTTTTCGCTCTTACAGTAAAAGCCGAATTAGTACACAAATTTCACGCCGTGCGGCACGACTGATATTTACCCGCCCATGTTGTCATCAAAATGTAACCTTTTGAATGTGATATTGAAATTATACTCTTAATGTAGCCCTTCCAGCGTTAAAGTCAAAATCCCAGTTATACGCAGCAAACTCCCTCCTCATTACAATGTCCACTTCTAATGCTTTACCCTCTCTCAATCGTACCTCTGCCAGAAAGACGGGTAGGCACAGTCTGGGAACCTTCACAGCAGGTCATTTTTTTCTGTCTCCTCCCTCAACATGTAGTCTATCACTTCTCCTCCCGCCATTTTCCTTCTCTTTCCCTCTTCATGTTCGAAATGAGTTATGATATTTATTAAAACAGTTGAACTGATCACAATCCAGTACTGCAGGGTATTTTGATATCACCATTTTATAAACATGGCTGTCAGTACAGTGGCAACGTGTGACTGATCTACCCTCCCCTTCCACCCCACAGGAACACATTACTCTTCGTCCTGTGCTCGCTTGATTGCACCAACAATTGATGCAATTACACTTCTGTAACTAAGCAATTTAATTCTTGTTTCGTCACTTCCCTTCACGTGTCTACTACGCTATTACAATATAATGAACACATTAGCCTTCCAATATGCAGCACATTCACGAATAAAATCCCATCAATATTCAGCCGTTTCGTCGTGTGTCTACAAAACAGCCATCAATTTTTTGATTTCTGCAAATGATTGGATTAGACCAGTTTCTCACAACACACAGTAAAAATAATTACCACTAAACATAAATTCAAAGTATCAGAAATTACAACAACAAATACAAATTACATACCAATCAACTCCAAGGAGCAAAGTCCTACTTAAGAAGCTAATAGTCGCTCAGATAGTCAAGAAATACCCTGCCTTTTAGACAAACTGCATATATATATATATATTACTGTGTTCAAAACAAACAGCTGCTGGATCCTATTTCAAGCCAGATTAATCCAGTTCACACTCTAATACCCTATTTCTTTAACACCCATTTCAATATTATCCTCCATCTAAAACGTTTTTTCACATAGCTCCCTCCTGCGGTCTTTCTGAGCAGAATTTTAGATATATTTCTCATGTAGGCTCACCTGTGTTTCTCATCCCTCCTGTGCTACAAGCTTTGCCCATCTCATCCCTGTTGACTTCATCATACTAACAATATCTGGTGAGGTGTGCAAATTACAAAGCTCCTCATTATGCAACCATGTTCTCAGGTGCCCTCAATTCTTGTTCCCTTAGTGTGAGACGCCAAGTTTCACATCCATGCAAAACAATAATTTTAAATTCCAGACATTCAGAGATCAGGCAATAAAACAAAAGATTCTAACTGAATGGTAGTAAGCATTCTCTGACATTAATCTTCTCTTAATTTCTTCACGAGCACAATTTTGATTTTGTCAGTGTTCTGCCAAGTATTTCAACTTTATAACATTTTCAAAGACTTTATTATTAGAATTATCAAATCAAGGATTATAAACTAGGCAGGTTATGTAGCATGCATGTGATGCAATCTGAAAGAAAGAGTCCATTAGGAAAGTCTAGGTATAGATGGGAGGATAATATCAGAGTGGATCTTGAAATGGGATAAGAGAGTGTGGACTGGATTTATCTGGTACAAGAAGGGGACCAGTGGCAGATTTTGTTAATACAGTAATGAAACCTTCAGAATTGTTTGAGTAGCTGAGTAACCATTAGCTTCTCAAGAAAGGCCAATAGACCTATAACACATTTTTTTACTGACAGACTTAGGTTCACATTTCCTGATCAAACTTGAACTGGTTAAATGCCAGTATCAGCTGTTAACTGATTTAATAGGTTCCTCCTCCATTTGTGTAAGTTTGAGCATTATTTATTATGCACTGGGGAAGCATAGAGGAGAAGGTACTTCTGGCTAAGCATACATTGGTGGAGCACATAGGGGAAAGTACTTCTGTCTAAACATGTATTCGTAGAGCATAGGGTGGAAGGTACTTCTGGCTAAGCATGCAGTGGACATGCATGGCAGGAAAGGTACTTCTGGCTAAGCATGCATTGTAAGAGCATAGGGTGGAAGGTACTTTCAGCTAAGCATGTGTTAGAGGAGGGTGAAGGGAAGGTACATGTGATTAAGCATGCATTGGAGACATGGCAGAAAAGTACTCATGACTAAGCATGTATTGAAGATGCATGGCAGGAAAGGTACTTCTGGCTAAGCATACATTGGAGATGCATGGCAGGAAAGGTACTTCTGGCTAAGCATGCATTGGAGATGTATGGCAGGAAAGGTACTTCTGGCTAAGCATGCATTGGAGATGCATGGCAGGAAAGGTACTTCTGGCTAAGCATGCATTGGAGACGCATAGCAGGAAAGGTACTTCTGTCTAAGCATGCAATGCGAAGCATGAAGGGGAACGTACTTCTGGCTGTATATTCTTAATTAAATTGAAGTCAGAGTGGAAGATCAGGGATGTCAGAAGCATTTGTGTCGGGTCTGCTGTCAAGCTGTGACACTAATGTCACATCCATTGGATTTAAGTAATGTTATACTAAAAATGTACTTGCAATTTGGATAATGGTGTCACTGTGGTACTATTCACCATCTCAGATGACTTCTAAACATAATGTCATTCATTATTTAGTACAGCTGGCCATAAGTGTCATGGTGGATCATGTTGGTATTCTCTCATTCTCACTGTGTCAGTCCAAAATGTTACTGCAACTGATGGTTTGACCATGTGATTTCCTTCCATATCTTTATGTTTATGGCACCCTCTGCATGTTCCACAAATATGGAGCTCTAAATCCAAGTTCATCACATGACTGTGCTGTTAACAATAACTGCCATAAATATGGAAATAAGGAACACTCTAATTCATATATCACCTCACTGGAAGCAGTTACATCAAAGCAGAAGAAATATTTTGCTCTACCACAGTACATATGAGAAAGTACTGTGTCCGTGGGGAGGGAATCAATATTTTGATGGATTTACGTGTTTCAATCCTCCCCAGATTAGTAAAGAGTGGTTTTTGGTATGGTGTCTGTGTGTGTGTGTGGACCTTGCTAGCACCTGACCAGTTGGCTGGATTTTATTCATATTAAGTATGTAAGAGTTTATATATGCTACATCAGTGCCCAAAGAATCTTAACATTCCACCCCCCAAAACTGATGCCATTCAAATGAGCCCCAAGTCATTTCCTTGAAGATGACTCTAATGAATTTGATTTCATTTTAGTAACTTATGAAGACCATCTCTCTCAATAAAACTACACAGGAAAATAATGGTAAGCACACTAGAGATCCATACATAAAATGCCAGTTTTCTTGAAACAAGCTTTACTGGTCACATGCATTTCATTTCTGTTTTGTATTCAGCTACCAACAGCTGTCTACCAAACAACAAATGATTTCACTTCTCAGGTAACACAGACAAAGTCAACTGTATATGAGAAAGTACATGTAGTGCTTTTGCCCTAATTTTTAAATTTATTTGCAGTTTATTTAACAATGCCATCAATAACTCAGAGTATACAGAATCAAATGACAGATGACAGTCAATAATAAATTGCGAAGTATCTGGAAATATGTTTATCATGGTCCAATTTAAGGTAATATCCTAGTGTCTATCTGAGGAATACCATGTAAAACTTCAGTTAGGATAGCTGGTGTCTGAGCTGAGATTTGAACCCACCAAGCCAGAAGTGTTACCACTTGAACCAACCTGCTTTGTGTTTAGACATATGGAAAATGTTTGGGGACTTGAAGTTATGGGTGAAATGAGAATTTGAATCATGCATAATGTGTAATTATCCATACATATAATGGCAAACATTTATTATTCTGTTGTTATGTGCTAGCACATAATTATGAATAGGAACAGATAGCAGCAGACAACGGGCAGTGAGAGTTATTCTGAGACCATATCGCAGTGTCTGTTTTGTCCAAAAGCGTTCATAGCATTCCTGTAGATAGCAGCACCACTTAGTGCATATTTTTATTCTATAAGGTTCTCATTTCAGTATGACTATAGCTGTTGTCTACAACTTTTGAGGTTATTAAGGTTAGGTATTTTTCATGAAGTTTGTTTTTAAAAATCCCTGCTGAAATTTCAATTGACTTTATGCTAGTCATTAAGAACCATAATGGCATTAGATGTTATATAACCTGTTCCAATGTTTCTGAACTTGTGGGGCATGTCCTGCTGGAGGGACATAATGGTTGGCCGAGTGGTATGTGAGGTCTTGAAATAACAGCTCACATTGATGACCAACATAATACTAAAATGCATATAATTGTAACCGTAAATTTCTTGTAAAAAGTGAAACTCTGTTTGTACTAATGTGGGATTGCAGTTTCACAAAATGACTCACAGGACACAATACACAAAAAGGTTGAGGATTACTGATCTATGCGATTGATAAAGCACTGGCAAATAAACAAACATCAACTGGAATTTATGCATAAAATGGATGTTAGGCCAGAGTTTATCTCTGTCTGGTATGATACTACAGCTCAACCTGCCAAAAATGTTTATCATATAGTTTCTAACAGTTCGTGTTGATTTAGTGTGAGGAACTGAATGTAAGGAGAAATATCATTAAAATCTTATCCATATTTCATTACACTGACTGCATTTCTTTTAAACAACTCTTCTGGCCACAGACATTACACATTCATTTTCAGGAGCACACTTAACACACACACAAACATACACACTGTCAGACATCCCTCTAAACTGACTCTACACACAATGTTACATCATCTCTCTAGCCTACCACTAGTTTCTGTCTTCAACAAAATATAAGTTCACATCTTGTGCCAGTCCTAATGTTTGCCGTGACTGAAGTTCCAGTCATAATGTCCTCTTGGTCCCTGACTGTACTGATCTTCACTCAACTTGTGCCGGTGTGCAGTTATAAAATAAAAACATGCAACAACACTGATTTTAAGTTCTCTCTGTCAATAAAGAATTCATAGGCACATTAACAATATGACAGGAAGGTAACACTATGCATTTATATCATGTTTCATTTCCTAGTCATTAAAAATCCTCTTTTAAATATTTATAATACATTCACAGAAACAAACTCTCTAAACTATCTTCTATCACTGCTTCATATAATATCTTTCTTATCACGTTCATTAAAAATAATTAATATAAAATTCATTTGATTGTTATGACATTAATTTGCTATTGCTTTAAAACAGTGATTAAACTTTGCTTCATAAATACTTAACCGCACAACTTCGTTATGTTGCATTGTTTTGTGACTGACAATAGTGCTAAGTGCTGTGCATGGCTAAAACAGTTTTTCCAAAGTTTTGTACCATTAAACAGTAGCCAATATCCACCATGTTGATGGCTGTGTCAACAACATGAACATTCATTTTGAATGTGTCATTGTTTAGATATCCAGCATCAGCAATATAACAAAGCCAGTGATATAAAGCAAATAATGGCGCTATTTTCCTGATAATTGAGATACTGGGATAGTATCTGATGTATCATCTTCTGGCATTGGTGCACCAAGTCTTTTGAGATCTCTGAGAGGTGGGAGAGGCCTCTTTGGCCAAATTCGAACAGACTTAAGGGCTAAAGAGTCATGCTGCAGTTGTTCTAGTTTTTGGATATCTGGATAAATACGTTGTTCTACCCATTCTGTGATGGTGAAACTATCAAAAACATCATCCAAAGCGTCCCTCGCTGAGCGCGCCAGTGATGTAAGAGTGTGATATACTCGAGGATGTTCTCCCATGAGTTCATCAACCCTTAACGGGCTTGAAAACTTTCTACGAATATTATAATCAGTCATCCAACCTTTGGACTTTGTAACAGATTCGAGGAACTCCTTAACTTCAATTTCTGCTGCATGAAGGCGATAAGTGAGTTTGAAAAATGGAGAGCCTGGGAAAAAACAGCGACCAAATTTGTCCCAGAGGTAAGGATCACTGTTCAGGTTAACAATGGCCTCTGACCGGCTGTAACTGGAGCTAGAGGAGGGACTGCCTGGCCGGGAGCACCCAAGGCTGGAATGCAGCTTACTCTTCAGTGATTGGTTGAAGTAACCGTGGCTTGTGGCCAGGAGGTTGATGGCTAATGAGGGCACTGCAGCAGGTAGCAACTCGCATAGCACCGCAAAGTGGTCATATCTGGAAGAACAAAGAGTTTCATGTTTAACTTGCACACAGAGGGATGAGAAATACAGTTTATTTTAATTATTTGCTTACTTACCAGACTATACAGTGTCAAATGACTAAATGAAAGGGACTACTGAAATGGAAAGGCTGTGGACAGACACAGTCAAGACCTAATCTCAGATACTATTCCAGCATTTTCCTGGACATATTTAGAAAAACCAATGAATTATGAAGATTCATCAGATGATGCATGTAACAACAACTTCCAGACTCATAAAACCTACTTCTCTATTTCATAGATTTCTAGTCCCACATATCTATTACTATTAATGTTATCTTGATGCTTTCTTATTTTATTTTTGATATACAAATTATTTAATTAAACAGACTCCGTATACATTAAATTTGTTCAATATAATGTAAAGTTTTGACCATCGCCATATTTGTAAATTTCTACATATACATCACACACACACACACACATATAACATGTAGGTATGTTAGTTATCCCCCTCAGACTGTCAGATAACAAAAATCTTTGCAGGCCAACACGTTGTTGTATTACATGTAACAAAAAATTACCTAAACACAGCTGCATTTTTGTTAAGATCTACCACATCCCTAGCCAGTGGGTATCAGAGGACTTTCCCTGCTTGCAAAACTGGCTATTCACCTCAACCTAGTACAGAAAGTTAAGTAAGCATGGAGCTATACCTCTACTCCCCAATACATCTTCAGTACATGGAAAACATGATTTTAGCTTTCAGTCATCCTATGTTTGATGCTGCATAGTCCTGCCCTACTAACAGCAGTGTTAAACAAAACATAAGTAGGAATCGTAAATTATCACCGTTTTAAGTCTTACTTGTTTTCTGTCAAGTATTTTTTATAGTTCCTTGCTACCATGTGATTATAACTNAATGATTCAAGCTTTCAGTCATCCTATGTTTGATGCTGCATATCACCGTTTTAAGTCTTACTTGTTTCCTGTCAAGTATTTTTTATAGTTCCTTGCTACCATGTGATTATAACTTAACACAGTTTACTGTAGTCTGTCTGAAACATCTGTGAGGGCACGTCCTAACTTGACTAGGGAACCTTACAGAAGAAAAGTTTGTTGTGTGCAATAAGGTCTGTGGTATGGCGATTATAGTTCTCATGTTAAAAACAATATCTAGAGACTTCATAATAATTTTATAACGATTATGTCACTGAGATGACGTACCTCAGGGATACTTTTGACATCGCATAGCCAATGTAAACTACACAAGGCATGAAACAGTAGCAGAGTGATGAGTACATGGGGGACTTTGGGGAGAGGGAGCGAGAGAGTAAAAGCGCAATAAAAACGGTGGGGTGTTAATTCAGATTGTAGGCACATATTCCGCAGTGGTTATATTGTGGGTCGCTAACACAAAGCGGGCTGTACTCCAAAATGTTGTTACACACTGAGCATGTAGAAACAAATTTGTGGTTCATTTAACGAAGCTACTAGCAGCTTATACGGTAAGGAGGGTAAGCTCAGCGGTAACTTTCTAGAAAAACATTCGAGATATGCTTGGTTTGAATCTCGGCAATAGTGACTGAGGTTCTTCGTGGTTTTCCTCTGTCCCTCCAGGCGTATTACAGAACCTCGATTAGGGCAATGAACGCTTCCTTCCAAATCCTTTCCAACTCAACAATCATCAGTCATCCACTCATTCGACACTAAATGGTTTAGCTTCTGACAGCGTCGTAAAAATTTCCCATAGAAGAAAAAACAATAAAAGTAAAAAAGTAAAGCTATCCCTGTAACAGGCTGTGAGATATTGAGGTTCCAACATTATCTAGACAATCAGCTGAGAGATGGCGATAAGGTTGTCAGCCTTACGCGCCGGCCGCGCTTTACTCCCCAGGAAAATTATTTAATTAATTCCTGGTACTCATTTCTGTTAGAGGCTGAGTAAACCCCCGTGCCTAGTTCGGCTGGAAGGATTAGGTCAACTGAAAAAAATCCAATGACCTCATCGGGATTTGAACCCGCGACCTTCCGGCTTGTAGCGTAGCACTTCAGCCACTACGCTACCAAGAAAAAAAAAAACAGTTCACACCATTTCCTGACTTCATCCATCTGTGACCCCCCCCCCCAGTGCCCTGGCAGAGATGAAGCCCCCAAATTAAAAGTCAAGGATGTGATATTGTGCTGCCAGGTGAGGGCTATCGCACAGATGTGTATGAAGCAATGGTGGAATGAGAACTAGCAAGGAAAATACGAAGAAACTCGGACAGAAATCCGGTCCAGTGCCACTTAGCGCATCACGAATCTCGCATTCAGTTACCCGAGAACGAATCCAAGGCTTTGCGGTGGCAAGACAAAGCCTAACCAGCTGAGCTAGGGCATGGACCTAGCCCAGACTTATTATCAGTGAATAATGACTGTGGATTGAAGTGGAAGTAAAGTGCCATAACAAATTTCAGGTACTATCGCGACATTCATCTTGTGAGACTAAGGAAACTTCAGACGCCAGGATATCTCATATCCCGGCCGGGATTCGAACAAAGCAACTCTGTAATAGAAGTCAGAAGCATCACCGCATGAGCCAGCTTGCTTTGTGAAGCCGTGTTCTCTGGTAGAATACTCCGAAAGTTTGGGAGGGACCGGATAGCTGGAGATATAAAAGGAAGGTTCCTACGAAGCTCTGGTAATTCTGTATCTGGCTGCACGGTGTCACATACCCGACGACGGTAATCGTAAAGCAAGTAATGATCATGATTCATCCTCTTCTTGTAAAGTGTGCATAAAGCATATGAGGCAGGGCTACAGTGGATTACTATTGTCCATATAATTTCCAAACAAAACAGCTACACAAACAGAGACATAATCGAGAAAAATATGTGGGTTTGTGCATTCAGCCTTCGTTAAAGATAAGACCGCTTCCGCTCTCCAAGACTGATATAAAAAGTGTAAAATAACAGCAATTTCTTCGGAATCTTCTTTTCTATGTGAGAAAAATTTGATACCATGTTTAACAGTACATGCGGCGAGGACTCAAGCGCCACCTGCCAGAACTGATGTGAACTAAGTCTGAGCCTCAAGATATATGAACCCATACATTATTTATGTCCAAGTGACTCGCAGAAGGGGTTTAAAAGTGGTCAGACAGAGACTGAATGTTGAAGCAAAACTGCAAAGAGCCGTCAAACAAAAACAATCTCCCATGCCAGAGAAATGAGACAGAATTATATCTCTTGCTCTATTTTATTACACGGACACAATAAAACATTCTGCGTACAGCAAAACGCGAAAGACGGTATTGAAGTTTCTAAATTCATAACACGAAAAACTGTTGTGAGGTATGAGGTAGATAAAATATTAACCATTTGAAGCATCACGTCCTTGAATTTTGTATTTATCTTTTCCGGGGGAGGCTAGAGGGTGTTATTTTACAATACTGTCAATATTTAGACTACACAGCACCAAACGGTGTGATCGTAAGATGTATGACAAATCGGTAAGAATGTGGAACGATGCGGTAGTGGCTTACGTTAAGGTATTATCCCGGATTTTGCCTGCAGCGAGTGAGTAAAACCACGATAACTCTCCCAAATAAGAGTATCCAGAGTTACATTAAGCCAGCCCACTTTATTGCGTCTTCTATGGCTGAAGTTGGCCGCGCCATACCTTAAGGGGTTAGTCGCTGGCTTCCCACCACGGCGGCCCGGGTTTGGTCAAGTGGGATTTGTGGTGGACAAAGTGGCTCTGGGGCAGGATTTCTCCAAGTACTTCGGTTTCCCCTACCAATCTTCATTCCTCCAATTGCTCCACAATCACCCTCACCTATCATCTGGGGCTAGTACAATAGGCCAGAAGTGGCTGCAGTACAAGGACCTTAGTCCCACCCCACTAGCAATAAAAAAAGAAGGCTGAATTTCATCTATAAAATATGTACATATTCAGTCCATACCTCACAGGAAACACAAAGCCCAACCGGTTAATGCTGTTTAGTTAAATAATCGCTGTTTGTTGTGAGAATCACACAAAACACATACATAAATACACCTACAAAAAGAAAATACTATCTTCCTCAAGCTCTTACACTTCCTCCTTCAGCACGAATCCCTATATTCTCTTCCAGCTGCCTAGTCACAAACGTTGATAGTAATAACCACATGATACTCGTAAGTATGTGGGGCTTTCGGGTGGTGGGCATGGGCAAAGGGTAGGAAACTTGGAACATTATTGCCCCCACAATCCATGGGGATTCTTTTTGTTGCCTCAGTACAGGGCAAATAACATAGGAGCTTCCGGAGGCGGGAACAAATACGTCTCCTGAATTAGAACTCCTTCGCAAAGCAGTTTCACTTCCAATTGGTACAAAAATCCAGCTCCCTGCAGCTAGACCATTCCCATGCCAAGTAAGTGGAAGTATTCCTGTAGTCATGGCTGTTGTCTGTTATAAATGGAAGCAAACATCAAGCAAGCAAGTGAGAATATTTTCTAGCCGCTGTTACACTGGACCTCACTGGCCTATTTATATAAGTTTTATGACTTGCTTATAGAAACAAAGCCATTACAACTTTATGACCTCTGTCACCACAATTTATTAAGTTTACTGAAGTAAAAAGCACGAGGTTTATAGTTTAGAGACCTACATGAGAAACATTTCAAATGCTACAGACACACAAGACTGAAGGTAGCATAAAATTTTGCCATATAAGTATCTTTGGAAAGGGTCACTTGAAAGACCAGGAAGGAGATGGGAAGATCAGTTTTTATGTACTGTGGCATGTAGACCCATTGCTAGGCGACAACCATGAAATAAACAGCTATAAAACAGCCGTTGTTAGGTATTGGCTCTGTAAATAACAGCCGTTGCTAGGTAACTGCCACAACAGATCTGTAACATGCAACAATGGAGTAACTAGGAAGTGGTGTTCTCTCTCTCATACACATGACAGTATGTATTAGGAACGGAGATTGTGAGAATGGGAGGTGGATAGAACTGACTTGGATTCATGTCCAGGGATGGGCTCTCATATGAGTACTATTGTGTTGAACGTTTGGGTTCTTCTACCAAAGAGTCAGTAAGCATACCATCCCTGGCCTACATCCAACGAACTCCACAGAATTGGGATCTTCTCAAGTAACTAATAATCACTCAGCAGGTCAAGCAATTTCTTACCTTTTGTGAACCCAGAGGCTCATTAGCATATTCACAAGAACGCACCACTGGTCCCTATCACAAGCCAAATGAATTCAGTACATATCCTCACACATAATTACTCTAAGATTCATTTTAATATTCTCCTTACACCTATGCTTAAGCCTTTGAAACTGTCTTGTGCATCCAAGTTTTCAAATCAAAACTCTGTACTTTCCTTTCACTTTTCCTACATATGCTACAAGCCTTGCTCATCCTATCCTCCTTGATCAGACCAATATGGTGCTAAGCTCAAATTATGAAGCTCATCATTATGTCATTTTCTCTATCCTCTTGTTTCCTGCCTCAAAACTCTGTTCTCAAACGTCCCACTTCTGTCAACATGTATGTTTTTCCCTCAGGATGACAAACAAAATTTCACTTCTATACAAAACAATGACTAATTCAGGAACACAGTTCATATATTTTAATCTTCAGGTTTTTGGATGGATGATAACAAAAGAATATGAACTGACTATTATGAATTGGTCCTTACAACCACACTTGTGACAGATGACGGAGTAAAAACGAAGCAGCTTCATGTACCCTGTGTGACTGTGGGGCTTTGGCTAACTTTAGATTTCGACACCTGGGACTTTATTTCATGGAACATGCAACTATGTAGGTGTCCCACTTTCTGAAGTACTACACTTCACTGAAGTGTCAGGGGCTTAATTGGGGTTTGCTGGAAAGGAACACAACAGACTGGAGATGGTCACAGCATAAGGTCTGGTTCAACCCACTCCTTTTTCATGTATTCATTCTTGAATCAGCTCTTGACTTATACAAACTCTTTATAAAGTATTATTCCTGACCCATCTGATTTGTAGTATTCATGGGTTACAGACTTCACTCTCCCTGAAATCCAACTGATTCAAAACCCTCTGACATAAACCATTCAGAGTGTTGTGACATCTGAGGTTCTCACACCAAATTAATATTATCTTCCACCCTGACAAAGGATACAGCAGGTTCCTTCGAAATATTGGCACCTACCTACCAAATTACACATCATCATATCCATAAAGACCACAATCGATCTTATTACTAAGCTAGATGGTTTTCCTAACAGCAGAGTTTAGGAAACTTATTTTCACACAGCTCAGGTGAGCAGATACTGGTTTCTCACTTTGAGGACCAACATTCAGTCCTGGTAGCCTTCATGTGACATCTGTGTTGGATAAAGTGTCAGCTGAACAGGATTTTCTCTGACTTTCTTTGGTTTTCCCCTATTCATCCACATTCCACCTTTGTTCTACATTCATCTATCATCACTTCTTTCTGAGATGTGAGATAGCCATGAACAGGCAGCACATTATCACATCTTCAGTCTCTAAAGTTTGGATCTTTATTTCCGACTTGTCACTTGGGTGATCACAGGGAAAACAAAGGAAGTTTCGAATACAAAATGGCTGTACTTTGTCTTCCCCAACATAATGAATTAACTAACTTCATGGAGCTGAGCCCTTCTTGAGAAGCCGCCACTTGTGCAGCTACTCAAAAATTTCTCAACACTTTATGGAACCCAAAGGTTCATTACTGTGTTCACAAAAGCCCTCCACTGGTCCTTATCCTTAGCCAGATCAATCCAGTCGCTACCATCCCATTCTCTCTCTCTAAGATCAATTTTAATATTATCCGCCTGCCTATGTCTTGGTCTTACTAGTGGTCTCTTTCCTTCCAGCTTTCCAACCAACATCCTACATTCATTCCACTTCTCCCCCATTTGTGTTACATGCCCTGCCCATCTCATCCTCCTTGACTGGATGATTCTAATTATACTTGGCAAAGGAGCTCCTCATTATGCAGTTTTCTCCAGTTTCCCATTGGTTCATCTCTCTTTGGTCCAAGACATAATGAATTACATAATTTATTACTATCAAAAGGAGAATGTCACAAAGCAGGTCTTGGGGCAGTTTTTATCTGGTCACCACTGCAATGTCGAGCTGTCATCACTGTACATGCTTATCCACTGCAATGAACAGAATGAATCCAGACTGTGGTCTCCTTGGCTGTGACACTATGTAGTCTTGTAGTCAGATGCTAACATTTCAGAGGAACACACTGCCTCCATCTTCGGGGTGAAAGGTGATCACTCAGACCTATGATATTGTATCTTGCACTGTGTCCCTGAGAAAGGCCATTTTCTTGCGACTATTCCTATCTGAGCCTTATCTTCCCATCCTCCAGTGGTCGGTGTGGCCACCTTCTTTGTATCCTGTCTATATAATCCAACCAGTTTCTCATCCTGCACACTTCAACCCTGAAGATGGAAACAGAATGTTCCTCATAGATGGCTCCAGGCTGTCACAATCCAGAAGCCCTGTCTGATCAATTTTTTTTTATTATTGCTAGTGGGATGGGACAAAGTCCCTTGTACTGCGGCCACTTCTGGCCTACAGTACCAGGCCCAGATGATAGGTGAGGGTAATTGTGGAGCAATTGGTGGAATGCAGGTTGACAGGGGAAACTGAAGTACTCAAAGAAAAACTGCCCCAGCGCCACTTTGTCCACCACAAATCCCACTTGACCAGACCCGGGATGGAACACGGGCCGCCGCGGTGGGAAGCCAGCGACTAACTGATAGTGCGGCCTGTCTGATCAACTACTACCGGGGAAACTTCAAAACATATAACAATACGTTAGTCTGTAATCATAGACGAGACTCACCTCTGCCAGCCGGTGATAGCGAGACCTCTGATGCCGCCCTTGAATTTGGGCCCCTCAGCGCTCATAACTTCAAGCCATCGAAGATTGTTCTCCAGATGTCTCTTCACATTCGGTATGTACAGTGTCTCTCCAAAGGCACCCTTGAAGGCGCTTGCCGTCCACACGTAGGGGAACACGGATGCAAATTTCTCCCATACCATAGTCGGGACAAAGCGGTACACATCCTCAGCATAGACCCAGACCTGAGGCAGACAAATTACTGATCTGACACAGTTTATTTATGGCTTACCTGACGATGCTGTCAACAGTTCGCACTATATATCATCAAGTGGTGAGATAATCAGCAAATAATGAACTTGAAAGGATGTGGAACAAAATAAATATAAATCTAAACCAATAACAAGCAGTCCCATTCAGGATTCGTCAAGCATACTGGCACTTCCATACTGCATAGGTTTCTAGTGCTTCAGATATATCATCATCATCATTACTATTATTATTGTTATTGTTGGTATTTTATTTTATTTTTGGAAAAGAAAACTTACTGTGTATAATTTCCCAGATATAACCTCAAAGTTTTGCATCACTGCCATGTTTACAGTCGTTGCCTTACAACCAGACTTCACATGCCTGTTTTCAAGGGTTCATTAGCTATCTTCGTCAAACTTAAGATTAAGAAAATGACTGTGCAGCCACTATCTCATTCCACACAGTCTACAAAAATGACCTTAACAACACTTGCATATGTTTCCTACAATTTATTAGCAGTATGGGGTTGTAGTAGCCTCCAGTACCATTACATTCATACCAAGTTTCATGAAAATCAGTCAAACTGTTCAAAAGTTGAAAGGGGACACACACAGACACCACTGTGATCTCACGTGCCTGTTTTGTTTCTGGGAAGATGATGGAGACAGAAATGGCAAGTTTCTCCAAAATGGTGGCACCAATCTACAAAATTATATGGCATTACATCACAGAAAAATTTTGTCTAAATACTGTCCATTATGAGAATGTAAAATCTCATACACTTAAAATTTCTTACCATGGGTTCCACGAGTTCTCCCATGTGGAATTCATCGAGACTCTGTGGTGAAAGGTGCCGCAGCATATCGTCCCAGATAATGGGAGTGACTGCACCATAGCGACTGCGCACAAAGCTGGCGACACGGGCAACATGTGACAGGAATAAAGTTTCTCGCATCTGGGAACGACAGCGGCGACACTCCCCCATCTGGAACACCTCATCACAGCCAATGTGAAGGAACCGGGCACCCTGGTGAAGTTCCATCACCTGTCACAGAACACAGAGGCGCAAGATGGCACCATAGTTATTTTATTTATAGCTTCAGGGTTAGAAGCTGGCTCCTCACTTTGGGATTTCTATGAGAATGCTGTTTTATCTAGTGGCACTGATTTTCCCCTGCTAATGATCACTCCACAATTGCTCCATACTCATCTATCACTCCCCTCCCTCCGAGTTGTGCCACAGCTTTGACCAGGCAGCACATTATCACATCCTCAATCTTTAAGTTGGGGGCTTCATCTCTGCCTCAGAACTTGGCCAGACACTACACAGAATAGTAAATTTTCAGGTCCTTTATGCTTTTATTATGAAGTGTGGTAGCTCAGTCACTACAGTAATCGACTATGGGCCGGATGGCCGGGGGGTTCGACTCCAGGCAGGGGCAAGAGATTTCGCTCTATTCCACAGTGTCCAGACCGGCCCTGGGGCAGCACCAGCCTCCAATCCAAAAAGTACTGGGGTCTCCTTCTGTGGGGATATAGCGGCAGGAGCATGAAACAGGCCACACCTCCCTCTAGTACAGAGGTCAAGAATGCACGCAGCTACATCTCCACTGCCCCATACGTCTTAATGACGTGGTGCTTAATGAAGCATACAGACTTGACATTTATACTCTGATATAATGATGCTAGCAGCAGCTCTGGAGTATACAGTGACTGCTTGATGATTGGTTAACGAATGGGAGGAAGAGGTTGTGGCCTAACTGGAGGAACAATCCTGGTATTTGTCTCGAGGGACTGAGGAAGATCAGGGAAAAGCTCAGTCTGTATACACCGCCTCCAGCCTTAGATCTGAACTCAAAGATCATCCTATCATTTGACAATACATAACGTGAGCCAGTGAAAGCGTCGTTAAACAAATAAAATAAACTTGCCTGTTCAATCATCTTCTCCACAAAGTCCATTGAGGCGTTCAGGGAGGGGCAAAGCGCTTGTGGAGATTCTGGAACCTCTCGGAGCCCGGAGAATTCCGGATGCTTGAGCGCGAACTCGACGTGTCCAAAAGTCTGCACCAAGGGTATGACCTCAAGCTCGGATCCGCGGGCTGCGGTTAGGATTTCCTCCACATCTCGACGGGAATAAGCGTTGCCAGCAGCGATCGACGAAAGGGGGCCGGTGAAGGGGAACATGTCCTCCCATTCAAGCAGGACGCCCGTGGCGCCGAGCTCGCGTATCAATGGAAACAGACGCTTCAAGTAACTCACCTGCAAAACAAACCACACTGTATAACCAAAAGGATTCTCGACAAACGTCTGTAGTAAGCACTCCACTTCAATATTTTGGGGCATGAAGGGTTATTTTAGTATGCGATGAGTAGCTACACTCGTCTAGCACCAGATGAACGATGAATTGGAAAAGATTTGGAGGGAAGCATTCGCAGCTTAGTCGAGATATTCCTGCATCTGCCTGGAAGGACTGAAGAAACCCATCAAATCAGTCAGCATAATCCACGTCCCAGTCGGGATTCGTATAGAGGACCTCCCGAATATGAGTGTTACCGCTGCGTTATCCCGTTTTGGTAACACTTTTGAAGAGTAAACGAATGAGACAAACAGAGAGAGGCAAAGAGAAGAGAAAGTGGTAAGGAGTTAGTGAGAAACATTTCATTTTCCCCGCCGTAAACAGAAATATTTCCGGGCCTGTATATTCCCAGNAGCAATAGGTCCCTCACGGATGTTGATAATAACTTTCTGTCCAACTACACGGCGTCAGAAGACAGCAATCCTTAATCTCTTGAGTAACTGCAACTAGCTGTCGCTGAAGTTAAACTCTGCTCTTTATGTTCCGTCCAATCACATGATTACCTTGACAATTCGGAGCAACCGCTCTCCCAGACGGCTACTCGTTATTTGCTATTACAGCTCCTGTCGTATTGTCATTCCATTCCACTCCACAGGTTGGCTCCCCACGTCGAAACATAACACACACACACACACACACACACAAAACAAACAAGTTCCTTGGTTTTAGTCCGCAAGCGAAGTATATCGACCGAGTGACCGCCGCTTGTCGGCGAAGTTTGTGGCCTCTGTGGTCTAGTGGTCAGAGTTCTTGGCTACAGATCCAGAGGTCCCAGGTTCGACTCCCGACGCTACCAGATTTTCTGAGAAGTAGTGAGTCTGGACCGGGGTCCACTCAGCCTCGTGAGGATACTTGAGGAGCTATTTCAAGGAAATAGCGGCTCCGGTCTAGAAAACCGAGACTAACGGCAGTGGGAATTCGTTGCGCTGACCAAACGACACCCTCTACCCGCAAAAGTTGGCGGGCGCATTCATACATACACACACACACATTTATTTCTAGGGCCCTTTCATGTGTCTCGCCCAGTTTCCATCTCCATAAGCAGGAAATGTAACTCCTGTGAGAGGTCTCAATGCCCTCCCCCCCGGCAATGTGAAAACGTGTTCAGCCTACTCAAACAACATCCGAAACAAAATATACGGTGGTCCAACACACCTAACGCTGTAGTAACAAACGGCGGATAACAAAACACTGTTCAGTAACGTTCCACATCCGAAAAGAGGGAAATTGGCTGTTGTACGGGGGCCCTAGCTCCCTTACCAAAGCTGTGAGTAGAAATCCGTAATTTCAAAATTGAAATTCTACATGACTTTGGTGACTAATAGTGTCCGACAAATGCTGCAATCTAATATCTCAGTTATTACAATATTTGGATTAATAATTCTAACGGCTTCTTGCGGAAGAGTTGATTACGTAGGGCAAAAAAAAATCAATTTCAATTTAATACTAGAACTTGATTTGCCCTCACGGCGTCACGCCACTCCTCAGGCCCCAACAAGTCCACGTCGCTATCTGACGACGACGCACCGTCAAAGGTATTTCATATGAGGGGATACCTAATTTTTTGACACGATTCCCCTTTATGGATCTCACCAAACCTTCCTGACCCCCATTCTCTTTCTTGAAATAAATGTAACCTTTATCAGTATTATTACCAGTAGATTCTAAAGGGTTCTGACGATGGTGGATAACTCAGAATTACTGGGTTTTTGGACTTCTTCCATCGTCCGGAATTCTAGAAAATAGAAAACACGACGTTTCTGAAACTGGATTTCCGTCTTCAGGTGAGGAAGGAAGACACCTACTCAGTTGGGCCCAGTGATTGAGATTAGCTCTCTCTAAGGAGCCCAACTGAGTAGGTGTCTTCCTTCCTCACCTGAAGACGGAAATAAATGCAGTTTCGGGATCTTCGCGTTTTCTGTTTCCNTTACAATTCCGGGCGATTGAACGAGTCCAAAACCCCAGTAATTCTGAGTATTGTTACTGTTTATGATCAACTAATTCGTAATTAGTAGCATATCAACACGGTTCGTGAAAAGTTCGAATTTCTAAAATGAAAATGGTCACGAATAATGCCGACACATGTTGAATTCTATTCCCTCGAATTTTTATAAATATCTGGATCAACAATTCTGACGTGTGCTTCCGGAAGAGATGACTAAAGGCAGCTAAGCAGGAATTATTCCAACTGCATCTGACATTAATAATTTTTATTTTTTCTCCAACCGCTTCACGCCTCCCCCCCCCCCCCCCCCCCCCCCNTGATTATAGAAAACTCACCTTAGGTGGCGCCCCCTTTAAGTCAAAATGCACCAGCCGCTGCTCGGGAACGTAAGGCTTCCTGGGGTCGAGGTTAACGTATGGGATTCCCATCTGGTAGAGGCCCTGCTGGTCATAGCTATTGTACTGCATTACTGACTGCGGTCCTGAGGTCGACACCTCCACAACGGCCCGCTGGACGTCTACGTCCAACTGCTCCACGGACGCCTTCCTCGCTGCCACGTCTTCACGCGCTGGCTGCTCCATTGGTATACGTGCCTTCGAAGGAAACTGATGTTTGCCTGGTACAGTTTCGTGTGATGACGTCACTACGGCCTCCTTACCCTCTGCCTGCACGAACTTAACGTTCTCACCACCGATACTTCGCTTCAAATCATCTGCATTGTCCTCCAGCAAGTTGCCACCTCCTTCTGGGTCGGGAACACGAGGTAACTGGAGATCATTACTAACTTTCCCTAGGGTATCACTGTTTCTACCTTCCTGATGATTACGTAAAGTTCTCTGGAGTGGTGATTTGTCATCTTTGCCTGAAGTCGGTTCTTGAATGCCATCTTCTGGCTTGACGGCGGAGTCAGACCGAGATGCGGTGTTGTATTGCAGGCAGAGGACGAGCAGTACCAGGCCCGCTGCTAGGCCGAGCAAAGTCGACTTCCGGCGCCACGCCGTTAGTCCTAGGCGTCCAGCGTAAGACGCTGCCAGTCCCATCCTGCGTATCTGCAACCACACACACGTTGCCGTTTCATACAAGGGATAAACTTCTCTTCAAATGCTAAATCTACTCAGGGCTGAAGAGAGGGAGAAGCAATAAAGGGAAGCAGAAAAGCGGGGATGGGAAAGTCTGCGGCCCTTTATTTCGGGGGAAGGATGGAGACACCGAGCATTATTCTGTTAGAAACTTACCTGGCTTTGGTCACTCATCCTTCTGATAAGAGCAGAAGACAGACAGCAGGAGTTGTCTGCAGACCAGCTGCAACTGCCAGTACAACAGCCATCAATACTGGGTCCAACATGAATAGCTTCCTCTAGATTTTAGCAGCCAGAAGATGTGAATAATGTATTTGTCACCGCTCAAGAGAATACTTAGCGTGTCTCTATTAAGGGTAACAACATCTGTGTAGGATTTTATTAGTTATGAAAAGTACTGTCTTCTGGAATAGAACGCTGTTTCCTCGTCCTCCATCCCATGCCTGAGACTCACTTGGCCTCTCTCTCTCTTACACGTTGGTTCCCTGCCCAACACACCCTTACACTTTTCCTCCTGTCTTTTTTCTAGACCAGCAAAACCGCTCTTTTTCAGGGACATCCTAAACTCGTGTTCTTGCCTCCTATTGGTTCGCTCGGTGGTCGCGTGACAGCCCAGCGGGTTCATTCTATCCCTCAGGGCAGCCAATGGGAACTGAGGCCCACTCTTCTATTTCCCTCCTGTTTCCTACATAATCCGAAATTTCCGGCGTGTCGATTACTGGGCTTGTCACCTGCTTTCAGCTGGTATCTTGCTCGGCTTATTCAAGCCTGAAGATGGAGGCGAGACGTTTCTCCGAAACGTCGGTTGACTTCCACCGGACTACACGGTGCTGTATCCCAGAAGATAGTATTCTTCGTAGCCATATCTGTTTATTACGAAAAACTAGCAAACGCCCGTTAAAGCTTGAAATAGAGAGAGAAATCTGAGGGTCTGGTCTATTCTCACCGAGGTATTTTAGTTTTCCTCGCTTCTACAGGGAAAATTCTAGGACAGTATCTCGGCTAGGCCAACACAGCTTGCTCCAAAATCCTCTTCAATTTATCATTCGTCATCCTATCATCCAACCATCTATACTGAAAGCGTCGTTAAACAAACAGCGAAAAGAAATAAATTAATTATCCTAACATTGGACCGCATATAACCCGAGCTACTTAGAGCGTTGTTAAATAAATCATAAATAAATAAATGAGGACACAGGGAGGTATATGTCCACGGATTCTTAATTTCGGGGGTGAGTGGTCAGTTTGGCCTACTGGTAAGGTCTCCCATGCCGGACAGGTAAAAAGTGATGAGTCAGATAAAAAGGGATAACCCGGTCCTTCAAGCTGGGAGTTGGGCGTGAGGTTGACAACTCCACCCCGGTTAAAAGCCTTAAGTGTTGAGAAGGTTTCAACGATTGCAGCCGGATGGAAGGGACCAATGACGAGCAATCGTAAAAGAGACCGAACTCATCATGGACTATAGCGTTCTCAGAAGAACAAGTAACTAGCTTGATACTCAGGGCAAGGAGTCCCGGGCTGGACGAGGCAGAGAAGCGACAAAACCCTGCCCCAGAAGGGGATCAAACCCAGGTTCAGCTCAAAGCCAACCACTTCAATGAGTAAGCTTCAGGTGTGATTGAGGTCGGCTGAACTCAAAATGACTGACTTACACACAGTCCCCCCTTCCCCAATCTGTTGGTTTTCCGATTAAAACTGAATCCGGCCGGTAACGTAGTCAGGGATAAATACTATCCAATTAATTGCATGAGCTGACAGATCTCGCTTCATTTATAACGCCGCTTATCGCTGGGAACGTGAAGAGTTAACCGCACCATCAACTCGATAACAATTCCCTACCCGCGTCGCGGTATTCTGCATTACAACTGCAGCCTCGTGATACACATCTACCGGCTCCTTTCGTGGCCTCCCCTCAACCCTTAAATAAACAAAGCTGATAATCAGGGCCCGGATTTTGATGACCTGAGAATATTTTAAAAAATGACCTATAAAATGACCGAAAAAATCCAGAAAAATGACCTAAAGGAGAAAAGAAAGAACATTTCGCTTCCATGTTATTCACATTTCAGAAAACATGAAGAAAAATTCCCTAAAATGGTCAAAAATGACATGAAATGCCCTTAAAAGTCCAACCAAAAAATTACCCCCCAAATTAAAAAATGACCTTAAACCTAAAAATGTCAAAAAATGACAAGAAATTACCTACAAAATTTAAATTTCTGTAACCAGCAGCTCATATCCGAGATTTATATATTTAAGAGCATCGCATAGGATACAAGGAAAAAAAGATGACATGTCATCAAAATCCGGGCCCTGCTGATAATGGTTCAGCTGCTCAAGAAATTTCCCCCCTATCCTGCACCACATGAATCCAGGCCACAACATAACACATTATTTATCTGACACCCATTTTAATATTATTCTCACCCACACATACATTCCTAAGTGGACTCTTCCCTACTGGTTTTCTGAATAAAGTCTGTATCCATTTCTTATATGCTCCATGCTCGCTACATGCCCTGCCCATTTTATCCTCATTCGTTTGACCAATCTAATAAAATCTGGTGGAAATCACAAGTTACGAAACTCCTCACAGCTCAATGGATATATTGAGGGGCCCAATAGCCGAGAAATCGGTGTTCGGTTCCAGGGAGGGGAGAGATACTTCTCCATAAGGACCAGTGCCGAGGCGTGGAGCTGACCACTCAATTTCATCTAATGCAGAGGTTAAGAATACGTGAAGCTACAGGGGATGGACAAAAATATGGAAACACCCAACAAAAAACACATTACCGTGACTAATATGGAGTAGGACAACCTCTGGCTTGCAGAACTGCTTGCAGTCTCCTTGGAATGGATAAATAGAGGTCCTGTATGATTTGCAAGAGAATCTTGTACCATTCTTCCTGAAAAACATGTTATCATCGATGATGGAGGTGGATAGCGCGCACACAGATTGATCTCCAAAATAGACCACAAAGGCTCGATAATATTGATATCTGGCGATTGTGGGGGCCATGGCAAACGTGACACTTCATCTTAGTGCTCAGAAAACCAGTCCTGGACGATGTGAGCTATGTGAACACAGGCACTGTTGGCTTGGTAAATGGCATCACCATTAGGGAACAAAGTTTGCACCATGGGATGGACCTGGTCGCCCAAAATGGTCACATAGTCGTTGGCAGTGACGTGACCTTGCAGGGTAATGATGGGTCCGACAGAATACCACGATATGGCTGCCCATACCATGATCGAACCCCCACCATGTTTCACTCTTGGCAGCAAACAATCTGGATCGTAAGCTTGGGATGGCGTTCTCCAGATGTAAACTCGGCCAGAAGTCGGAAACAGTCTGAAAGTGGACTCATCCGACCAAATGACCGTCTTACATTGCTCCATAGTCCAGGTTTTATGACTTCGGCAACACACTGTCCTCTTAGTGGCATTTTGATCACTGATGAGTGGCTTTGGAATTGCAGCTCATCCAGAAATACCCTGCTTGTAGAGTTCCCTTCGTACTGTTTTGTGCTGACAGGGTTTGTGAGCGTGACATTCAGTTCAGCAGTCACTTCTGCAGCTGTAGTCTTCTTATTTTTCGTCACAATCCTACGCAATGTTCGTCTGTCTCGATCACTCAACAAACATTTCCATCCACGCTGGCGTTTATCGGATGCGGTTTTTTTAGTCCTCCTGTATGCGGTCATAATCTTGGATACTGTGCCTCGCGAAACACCAAAAACCTCGGCTACCTTGGTTACGGAAGCACCCACCACATGGGCCCCAACAATTTGCCCGCGTTCCAATTCTGTTAGCTCTGACGTGATGCACAAAAAATTGCACAGACCACTGTCTCTCCATAAATGAAGCTTGCAACGTATTGCGGAGGTTGTACAGGTTGGGCAGATACGACAGCGTGACCTACAAACGTCGCTAAAATAAACACTTCAAATCAGGCATGCATTTCACGAGGTGTTTCCATATTTTTGTCCATCTCCTGTATATTTCCACTTCCCCACACGACTTCATGGCGTGACCTTTACCTCATTTTCTTTATCCTCCTGTTATTTCCTCCCACTTAGAACCAAATATTACCCTCAGCACCATGTTCTCAAACATCCTTCAGTTTGTGTTCTTCCCGCAGGAGATGGAACCAAGTTTTGCGCTGCTCCCTCGGGAAATAATACCCTTCCTTCTCCCGAAGATAACCCTTTTCATCGTTCACACCCTTGTCTCCATAAATTTCCAATTCTATTCCTATACCTTTAACCCCCAACTCTTCATCTCTTCACCACGCACCATCCGCTTTATCCCTTTCCTGGATTCTCCTTCTCTCACACAAAACTTCCTTTCTTCCGCCCCCCCCCCCACCACCTTTACAATTCAACGCTACTCATTCCACACTCTTGAGCGAAACAGAGATACATAATTAACATTAGCATCTGGCAGCTAACTGCTTCACACAGATACAGCTAATGAAATTGGGTATTCTATCCACCCTTCACCCCTCTGTCGTGTTAAATTTGGGTGAAGGGAAGGCCCTCAACCCTATATTGATCTCACCCCTCTTTCGACGACTTTCTCCTTCCATGCCTCACCACATTCCTTTCCAAGCCCTTCACCCCTAACTTCTTTATCTTGCACTTCATGATTATACTTTCCTACGCTATAACGCCGTCCACTTTGGCACCGGGCAATATGGCGTGACATCCCACAAGAAATCATAATTCTGTAGGCTACTATAAGCTTTCGTGCTATTGTTCTCCCCGTACCCGTTTCCAGTCCTACATGTTATCAAATGTGTCGATGTCGATGTTTATCACAAACTCCCACGAATAACACGCACAAACAGTCAATCGTAGACCGTCCCTTTTACATATCCGCATTAAATGTTATCAGCATTTTGGATTATTTTTATTTAGCTAAATCTTCCAGCCGCGCTATGACTCTGGGGTCGACCTGGGGGTAAAGGG